ATTCGCTTCTATTATCTAACTTTCTCCTCATTTTTGCTCAGCTACTTGTTACTCATTTCGCCCAGTAGCACACTTTCTCGTAGGTGGTTCTCTTTCCTTTCCAAGCTGTTGTCTACCTTGTACATTCTCCCACGTCTTGTCTATTTATCTGCTTATCTACTTCTGTCTTATTTTTCTTGTCTGGCTTGAATATATATATGAGAACCGGTATACCGGTGAGAAAACATTACAGTACAAAGTGCATAATATTACATTAATAACGCCTTCCATTCTCGCTCGATCTGGAATAGCGTAATGGAACGCACTGATGACGTATCATGTCTGCGTGAACGGGGTGCACAGAGGTATGCAAATACACGTGTTGACCGGTAGGTAGGACAGCCTATCATAGTCCTCGGAACGAGGGATATGATTGGAAGAACATTTAATGGTCCTACGCCTTCCACAGACGATATAAATACATATAAATACATATAATACACTATGTACTCAACCGTCTAGTACAGGGGTGGCGATCTCCGGTCCTGGAGAGCCGCAGCCCTGCAGAGTTCAGCTCCAACCCTAATTAAAACTCACCTGCCTGTAGCTTCCTAGTAACCGTTCAGACCTTGATTAGCTTGTTCAGGTGTGTTTGATTAGGGTTGAAGTTAAACTCTGCAGGGCTGCGACTCTCCAGGACCGACGTTCGCCACCCCTGGTCTAGTATATGAATTATATAAAGTTTTTTTCATTCAGCATTGGAGTCTGATAGCTTCTGTCCCTTCAGTTTGTAATTAAAGCTGCGGCAGTTGAGTGCATGAAGTGTCCGACTTTTTTATTTTTTCCGGTAAACTCATCATCCAGGTATTTGAAGTGCACTTTTTCGTTTTAGAATTTTCAGTGTGAACACTATCTATACTAAAAACTGGCATAGAATAGTGCATAAGTATGCAAATTGGGACACCCCTGAAATAAGTCTTAATGAATGAGTCATTGAATCAAATTTGTTCACAAACATTGAATCATTCAGGGGAACTGATTCAAAACAGCTACTTTGTGTTGCAACTGTAATGCTGTGTCGTTGATTAGAACTATTTTGTTTTGTACATCACGGCCATGTCATGTGTTCATTTTATAAGGCCTTCCTCTCAATCTTTTTACGTAATATGAGGTACATACCAAGAGTTCAGATGGTTTTTGTGGATCCTCAAACCTCAAAACTTTTTCTGTCCTACAGGAATCTTTTGCACAATCTCACTGTGCACCTACGCAGCCAGTGTCTCATACGACCTATCCAGGAACCCTCCCTTCATCTATGGTCTGCCCAGTGACGTAGACCACGGGTACGGGTGGTCCATCTTCTGTGCATGGGTCAGTCTGGGCCTAACAGTGGCGTCGGGTTGCATCTGCACAACTTATCCCTTCCTGAGCCGCTCAAAGGCTCTTCGCTCCAAAACGGCAAGGGAGTCGTCTGTATGAGCGCGGCCTGGAGGACTCAGCAAAACATTAATCAGCACTTGGCGCTTTAGTAAAACGGATTCAAGTGGGACTTCATGCTGTATGGAGCCGTTTTGAATGTCTTGTAGATTTCTGATACCTTTGTTGGGCTCATGAGATGTATTGGTGTTATACAGAACGAAGGACAAGACTGTTGCATTTTCTGTGTGTCTTCTACACACATTTGCTTACAAATCACACACACACACATAAAAAAAAGAAAAGAAAATACACACAAATATACAGTATGTGTGAATATAATGAACAAAACCTTTGATTTGAAATGGGTATGTGTATGTTTGTGGGTCGTTGTGATGCAATCATTCTCTGGATCAGGTGAATATTCTACACACTAAGGATCTGAGACACAATTTTTTATGCAAACCATCTGAAATTCAAATTATTGCTCTGATCACAGTCAGTGTTATTTTTTTATTATGTGATTAAAGCATACTGGTTTCCCTACCACTTGCAAATGGATACAAGTCGACTAACCATTGGCTCATTTCAAATGAAAATATCACAGCTAAAGAATTCAATCAGGGATGAACAGGACACTTCATGCCACCGAAGTCACCACATCAGACAAATGTATAAAGGCATGATTGCATATATATCACCTTTGGGTAACAGCTGGTGGCTGATATTCAAAAAGATTGGAAAAAAAAAAAAAGACACGAGAAGTCTTGAGATCTAAGACGTGGATATGCAAATTTGTGATTGGATAAAATGTCTCTGAAGATTCAGGACTTGAATGTAGCTGTCACTAGCAGTGCAGTCGTAATATGGCAGCATGTTTAAAGTGGATGCTCTCGAATCTACCAGCCTCGCTCATGAAAGGCTTCTCATGATGTCACGTCATTGTTGAAAATTCAAGTCCTTCCGTTCCACATGAAGTGGCACTAATATAAAGCGACCAGGATTATATTAACTGCTGGATAGTTTTCCAAACTGAGCCAAAACTGTAACATTTCCCTGAAACTGTACTGTGTTTGCCTCAAAACTTCCGTTGTGTTCCTGAAAGTGTATCGTAAATAAAATATTACCATGATAAAATAAAGGTCTATTAAGAAACCAAACTGTTTCGTGTGAACTTGGGCAGAATTGGGGCTTGTTTTATTGTTGGCAGACATAGGGTGACTCATTTTAAACAATGCTAGCATGTTTTATGCTTTCTCTTATCCAAAAAGAATACTACCTGTGCAGAAAAAGGAAACAACGCTGTTGAGTTCACCTCACACAGCTATTTGGCCATTATGTAGCCTATGGTTCAAGAAATGCAGTTTTGAATAATTGTTTAAGGTAGCTGATTTGTTGATGCTATCAGCTTTTATATTGAGACACATGGTCCTGGAAAACCATAAACAGTGATATTTTAGTAATATTTGTGTGCTTTTTTTAAATAATTTTTTATAATGTAAAAAAAGTTTTTATTTTAATATTTTCATTTTTTTTTTATTTTAGTTTTAGTAACTGTATGTGCTTTTGTATTTTTAATTAGTTTTTGATATTTCTATTTAGATTCATTTTTATTTCAGGTTTAGTTTTAGTAATATTACAATTACATGTGTCATATACATTTTATATTTTTCATTTTCATTTGTAAGTAAGTATCTTATTTGTTACTGTATATTTATATTTGATTTTATTTCAAGAAAATTATTTTTAGCAGTTTTTATTTTAGTAAACAATAACAACACTTATCTGGAAATATAAGGGAATTTTAAAATTGTCATTTGTAGGACTATAAAAGCCATGCACTTTGAAAAGAATGACAAAAAAAATATTTACAACGATGGCACTATAGTGTATATAAATTGTTCTTGTTATGCTCAGTTGTGCTAAATGTCTTAAAAGTTGCTTTTTGGGAGTGAAATTTCTATTATTTATTTATTTACAATCCTATTCCAGTATTCACAAGTGGCGGGGAAAGTCGTGGAAATTTAAAGGTCAAAAGGTGTGGCAACCCTGTTAATGACTAGACTTGGATTTGTTTACATAGTAGTTAAAAAAAAGGACTTACCATTACTCTGACACAAGAGGGCGCCACATTATCATCAATAAACACACAAACCCTTGCCTAAACTCTGAAAATGTGCAATTTCTTTAAAATGAGGTGCTGAACTTTTTTGCTTGTGATGTGAAGAGGAGTCCCCACGGCAATAATATATTGCCCATTTCCCTTCAGTTGAGAGTGCCACACAAAACAAAAATGAAAAAAGACAAAACTCAATGGCTGAAACAACAAACAATGTTCTAAATAAAAAGATTGTATTATCATAAAGATAACATTAATCAAAATGAAACTTACGGGTACTGAGCACTCGCACAAGCGAGGGAAAACTACTGTAAAATGAACTGTAAATGAGGCTGGGGGCCGAGTGACTCGTGCTGGAGTAGATAAACAGTGCCATCACCCGTGTGTGCTCAATGATACAGTATGTCCTGATCAAAAATGAGTGAAAATAAAGGAAAAAAAGCTTTTACCAGTGTGCCCGTGTCCACAAATGAGTAAAAATAGTGAAATATCCTCAATTTTCTATTCAGGAAGACTGTACACTATACAATAAGATCAGTTTCCCAGTGTCACAGTTGACTTTCTATCATACATGTGTGTTGTTCTTTGTGTAATGTTCAAAAATAAGTATTTTCTTCATAAAGGGAAGTCGTCACAAAAACAGAGGAGAGAGATAACATGCATTCCTCATAAAGCAGTATTAAAAAGAATAAAAACAATGGATTCTGAACTTGCGTTTGTACAATGTCAAAACATTTTCTTTTGTCTAAATGCTGAGACAGAAATAGGATTTGATCGTATGTCCTAAAACTACTGGTACCTGCACTAGAAGTGTATGGAAAGGTCAGAGTCCATGATAAAAACTTAAGGTACAAGTTCGGACAAGCACACAAACACATTGCAATACATTTAATAATACTTCTGGCTGTCCTCAGTGAGTGGCTCCTATAGGACGTCTGTGGAGTTAAGCATGTAACCGAGCTGGAAGGTCGAAAACACCGAACCGTGTAAATCCCAAATAAAAGCTTAAAATGCTCACAAACCCACACTTTTATGGTCTAAAATCAGAAGAAGAAAAAAATAGTCTTGCGAGTTGCGACACTGTACGTTGTTCAAAACACCCGCTTGTAGGTTCAAAAAGTGAAATGCACTACTTTCATCTTTAACCACAGATTTTGAGTGCATTTTTGCTACGATTTCTGCGTGTTGAACATTCTTCTCCTGCAAAATGTTTCCAAGTAAATGAATGAGATTTAAAATGACAGTGATCTTTAAAGTATTCCGTGACCAGAGGAACAAAATGTTACTCAAAGGTCATTCGTTTTTGTACCATTTAGCCAAAAAATGACATTTGAATGTTGTATGTCTTTTGAATCGAATTTAATCTGCTGTTTTGTCATATTACAGATTTCAGGTTTCAGTCAACCAAATCAGTAACATTTCCAAATGATAATTTTCCTGAAATCTTTACAGCTTTACTAAAAAAATAAAAAAAAAAGTAAAACGTTTTACCTCAACAGCAGAAAAATGTGTATTCACACATAAAATAGTGGGCAACACAAAAACGCACAATAAAACACCTGCTATCGTCTACGGCTGCTTTTGAACCCTTTCCTCCAGTCAGTCCTACATATACGAGGATGTTAACGACAGCATCCTGTCTGTGGCATCATCTCGTGCCTGGTTTAGAAACCCTTGATGATGCAATAGGCCTCCATGGAGGATAAGATGATGTACATCAGCCAGAGACTGAAAAACAATGTTGTGGTTAGGATTTTGGGAGTCTGCGGGCCACCCAGTTCCCCTCCGATCTCGGGCCGGCGGCGGTACATGAGGACGGAAATACAGATGAAGGCAAAGATGGTGAAAACGGTGACGGAGAATGCCAGCGTGCCGGGGTCCACTCTGAAATACTGGCCATGTGCCTGGTGAAATATGGCAGCGATGGACCAGGCCAATCCAATGCCCAGAAAGACGTTCACAGCGTTGCTGCCAGTCACATTGCCGATGGAGGCATCAGCGTACTGATCCTGGATGGCTGCCACCTTACTAGCGAATGTGTCTGATTTTGAAGGGGTCGGGAGAGAAAGACAGAAAGAACGAAATATTGTCAGGCTGCAAAAAATAGGCATCAATATATGGATGATTGTTGTATGAATCGTTGTGTGAAACCTGTAAAAAAAACATGTCCAGCTTGTATTTTGCCCAAAATTCCAAATAAAGAAATAAGTTTGCATAAAGAAAATTAAGCATTTCTAGGGCCATTAAGAATGTCCAGCATTTGCTTTTTCAAGACCGTTAAACACATTTTCTCTTTAAATTTCCAGTATTGTACAAAAAAGTTACAATGAAATGAATAAAAAAAATTATATTTTTTTCATTATTATATATTATATATTTTAATAAGATTAATTGATTTAATTGGGTGCATTTATTTAATTAAAAAAGTGCAGTAAAAATAGTAATGTTGTAAGAAAGTATTACAATAAAAAAGGTTACTATTTGAATATAATATAAAATATAATTTATTTCTATAATAGCAAAGCTGAATTTTCAGCCACCATCACTAGTCTTCAACATCACATGATCCTTCAGAAATAATTCTAATATGCAGATTTGCTGCTCAAGAAACATTTATTATCAATCAATAAGGATTTTTGATGAACAGAAAGGTTAAAAGAACAGCATTTATTTGAAATCAATTTTTGTAACATTATAAATGTCTTTACTGTCAATTGCATCCTTTTAATGCATCCTTGCTGAATAAAAATATTAATTTCGTTTTTTAACAACTTACTGACCTCAAACTTTTAAATAGTAGTGTGTGTGTATATATATATATATACTGTAAACATTACTAAAAAATAATAGAAAAGAATGGGAAAACTTGCATTGGTATAAACCATTAACGTAAAGAGAATTTGGGGAGAAAATGTGCTTAATTGTCATAATTCACAAAATCTTAATGGTCCAAAAAACAGGTTTTTCTTGAATTAAAATATATATAATTTTAATTTGATTTGGGGATGAAATGTGACTTAAACATATTTACTAGTACCTGGCACAGAGGTTCCCAGCGCCACAAACACAACTGCAGTTACAGAGTCTTTCAGGCCAATAGTGCATCCAAAATGGGATGCCAGGTCTCCAATGAATGCAGTGAGGACACCAATCATGATGATGGACACGATGAAACACGCCCAGCCATTCCAGTAATCAGTGGGTGGCACAAATGCAAACAGAACCTTCCAGAACACAGTCAGGAAGTGCATGACGTAGTCAAAGCAAGATGGCATTTTTTCTTCCCCACACTCATCATCATCATCTTCCCCTTAGGAGGAGAAAAAAAAGGAGAGGCGATTTGAATTATGGATTGGTTTGTTTGTTTTCTGTGAAGTGACAGACTGTCCTCTTACTCCAGGGAACATCAGTGTGCATATCACTGTTACACAGAATGGCTGACACCAACCAAATCTTATAAATCAGAGGAGGCAGAACCGGCATAACATGAAGCTCAGAGGACTGGAAGTCCAGTACCATTTGTGTTTCACCAAATATCACACTACTTAAAACATATCAAAACAGTCATAAATGAAAAGATTTATTTAAAGCACGAAAAAACATTGTGCAGCCCAGCTCAAACCAGGTAACTATTTGAACAATAAAGGGAGGAACAATAAGAGGCGGTGCTATATTGTGAATGTAAAGGGCATTATTAGATTATTATTACTAAACACTTTGTCAACATTTACAAAAACCATTATAAATTATTTTATAAAAAAATAATTTTGAAATGAATTTAAAATTATAATTCCATATTCACATTTACATTCATTTTACATACTCAAATTATGTAAACGACATTTCACATCATTTATATTTCTATAAACAATTATTTTTGAAAAATAAAAAATATAATTGTTACTATTATTTAAGACAAAGACAATTATTATTTTACAATGATTGATTTCATTGTTTACGAGTTAATTTAATATTTCAGATTATAATTTAGTGTTCATTTAATATTTAATAATATATAATGAATCGTAATGAATTTGAATTATAATTCTATATTTACATTTATTTTACATATATTTATATTTCTATATTTACATTTGATATTTGATATTGCATTAAATTTTTTTTTAAATAAAGCATATATTTTTAATTATTTATTATTTTACAACTAATTATTCACAAGTTTTAAATATAATACATAGTTTATTATGTATAATATTTACAATTATAGGTTTTACACATCATATACATTTAATTTTTTTCATCAAATTTTAAGTTAGGGTTAGGGTTAAGTTTAATAAAAAAGATCAATGATTCTTTTACATAATACAGTGTCATCATAACAAAGCAAGTTCATTTTGGTTCACAACTGGAGCACTGCAGAGTAAGGCAGTCTAATTATGAAAAATATTCCCCAGGAATTTAGATTATGATCTCCCTCCCTCTCTTTCTCTCTCCTCGCGGCTCAGGCTGCACTAACAAGCTCTGTCAGCTTCAGTCAAGCCTGTCAGAATGAGTGCTAGTGTATGCTTCGGACTGCATGTGCGTGTGTGGCAAAAGATATAGAGTCACCCAGCTTTGCATCTACACATTCCTTATTAATATGCTGCGCAACATGACGAAAGACACTTCAAAAACCGTGCGGACGGAGGGTGAAATCAAAAGGCCTTGACATTTTAGAGATGAGAATGGCGCTGGCCTGTGTTGGTTATGCTCATAGTAGGCTTGACTGATGGCTGAAGAATTGTGAGTAAAAAAAAACAAAAAACAACATAAGAAACACATTTGATGTTAAAGACAGAGTTACTCTTTAAAAGCATAATTACTGCACAACTAAACTTAACATTTGACAAAAAAATATATATTATGACATGAAAATGTATAATAATAAATAATAGATGCATGAAAAATCACAATACAAATTTTGAAAATATAAAAAACATAATAATACATTTTTAACGAAAAGAACAGAAATGTAAAAATAGAATTATACATGTAAAATATTATTTATTTATTTGTTTGTTTTGCTGGAGCTGATGTGAAGTGTCTATCAATTCTCTTGTTACTTCCAGCATAAAATAACCTCTTATTGTTCCTGACACTTTTTGTAGCTTTGTAGGAGTTAAAAGTAATAAATTCGATAACAAACTGGATCCAAATTGTAGACGTGACCAAAATATTTACAATGGACATAAAGAAGCTATGCATAACTTTACCATTAGCATCCCATTTTACTTTCATAATGTGACATATTTCCAAATAAAACAAGATGCAAAAAGGAAAAAAAGAAAGACTGGATTTTATCCACTGGGTTTTTATGACAGAGAAAGGAGGGAAAATATTCAAGATTATGAAGACAATCAGAATCAATATTAAGACGTTATGAATGCAACATTATTTGTTTCCTACTCAATACTGAGATAAACTGGTTCTTAGAAACATCAACTTTATACTGAGCGCTGTCTGCTCTTAAGGAAAAAAGCTAATTATGATTATATTCTCTCTCCAGCACTGCTATGATTGACACTCTGTAGAGCCAATTTTGTTAGTTGATGAAACATTTTAATGCACTTCAGTCTGGCAACAGGGAGGCTTTCAGCACCAACATATTTTAAATTGCAATGGTGGGCTAATCAAAGATATGTGGCCTTTCAGAGATGAAACAGCAAAATTGCCTTGCTTTCTAGCATGCCATGTCAAGACTGCGGTGGATTGTGCAATGATTGTGTTTACAGTATGTAGAGACTTAATGGAAAAACTGACAGCATTTTTTCAGTGACTCACCTGATCTGACAGTAATGGCTTCTATAAACTGGTCTCTCCAACTGTTAGTACCAACCAAAAGGGCCAAGTTGGTTTTCTTTATGAGTTTGTCGACTGTGCTCTGGAACGGGATTAAAATCATTACAACCATGTTAACAATACTTAAAAGGTTTAATGGTAGCATTTTACAAAGCCTCATTTGTTTACATTAGTTAACTATGTTAATGTAAACTGACATTTATATATACATTTTTCAAATGTATTTTTTTTTGTTAACATTAATGAATACACTGTGAACTAACAAGAACAATTGTATTTTTATTAACAAAGACTAATAAATGTTGTAAAAAGTATTTCTCATTGTTAGTTCTAGTTAGTTACTATACTACCTAATGCACATAAAAGATTGTAAAGTGTTAAGGGTTTAATTACAAAAAACAGTCCATCACCTCATGTCATCCCAAACCCGTATGACTGACATTCTTACATGAAACGCAAAGGGAAATACTTATATGCTTTTTGGCATTCAATGAAAGGGATTCCAAAACAACAAAAAAATGCCTTGAATTGTTTCCGTTCCAAGAATTTTGATTTGTGCCTGTTCCTTTCAGATATGTCTTTAAGATAAATTAAGTAACAGCTTAAAGTGCATTCAAACTGAAAATCACTTTTCTTTGCAAAAAAAAATACATAAAAAAACTGATACAGCAGATTTTTCCGATTAGGAAAAAAATTCCTCAACTGCAGCCAGCCTGAACACAAAATCTTTTTCATTACAGCCCAGAAACTGATTTGTCAGGACGGCATCGCCTGTCGATTATGAAGGTTGTAGTGGTATTACACCAGCAGAACATCATAATTCTGTGCAACTCAATCAAATCTTCAGGATACGAGGAAATCACTTCGCTTTGAGGCCAAGAAAATTAATCTGACAGACATGATGAAAACTAATAAACCCTCTGACACACAGAGGCAGTGCAGGAGAGAACCGAAGAGTTGAATTAGAGATGGAAAATGGACACTGTTAACATGTATAAAGTGACAGGCAGTCTGAAAGGTTGCGGTAATAGCTCTGCCCATGTCTGCTGTATCTGAAGAGCAATTAAAGGTTGAATCATCTCCAGCTGCGTCTACTTCAACAGGGCAGGATACCATTGCTCATGTCCAGATGCTCTGTCATCCCCTCATTCACCTTTAAGGGCTTCTAAGCCCTCATTCATGCTTAAAATGTCATCACTCAACCTTAAAGTAAATGCGTGTGTGAACATAGATGGGTGTCTGAATGTATTTTTCATGACAGATTCCTCATGAGCAGAAAAGGTACCTTAAACTCATAGGACTCCTCAATGATTACTTCAAGTTTCACATGTTCACCCAGTGTCGGTCGACCCATTTCAGCAATATGCCTCTCATCCTTCTCTTTTTTAGTCAGGTTCTCCTCTTCCCCGTCCTCTGAGAGAGACAGACAAAGCAAGAGAGGTACAGAAAATTTGATGGAAAAAAACAAACAAAGAGATGGTAAGTAGCAGGGAGTCTTTCATGAAATGAAATGCATAAAAACAAGTTGTTGAGTTAACTGGCTCGCTCACATGATGCTACACATGACACACAAATGTGTAGACTTGTATGATTACATCATTTGCAGGGTTTAAATAAAGCCGTATCATCTGCAGTGTGAGCAATACTATGTTTGTTCAGAAGTGTGAGAATGCAATGCTGTCAATCTGGACTTGAAAACATGTTTGAAGGTGTGGGCCTTTTGCAAGGATTAAAAATATAACATCAGTACTAATCTAAAACAATGACTGGATCACTGATCAAGATATTTAAAGGAACAGTTCGCCCAAAAAAGGCATTGGAAATGCATTAGGATGACATTTTTCTAATTGTTGGGTAACTATTCCTTTAAGATACCACAATAAAACAATTCCATAAAAGTCTATCAGCATATTGCATTGATTAAAAACACTTTTCACGTGATTAAATGCATGCATTTAGCATTCAATAGCTCTTGCATGCTACACTAATGAGGAAATGACAGCTGTTGATCTCTGGTGTCATCTATTATGACGGTTTACATTCTCACAATCACTTTATGGAACAGGATGTTCAGCTAATTGGCTCAAACATGCACACACGTGCATAAGAGATCCCACATTTATAGTGACAAAAGGGAGAATGATTTAATGAAAAGAAAGAGAAAGGGATGAGAGGAAATGTATACCTGTGATGCTGATAATGGTGGAGGGGATCGGTTTGTCTCTACCCTGCACTTTCCGGTACACATCCCTGCCTGATGAGCCCACACACATTCACTGAACAGAGTTAGCACAAATGCTAACAGATCTACAGAGCTTTATTTATGATGGTGCACAACTAAATAAAGCTTTATAAAGCAGATGATGGAAATTTCAATTATCACATGAGAGAACAGAGCAAATATGTATTGCCTCTTTGATATATTATAGTTTGATAGATATTACAGTGTACATATTATGTATATTCAAAAAATATAAACAGAATTAACAGCAATGGGACCTCGGTGTAAAGTAGGTTTATGACCCAATAGTACATTTAATTACATAGTATAATTACATATATTAATATTTATAGTGTCAAAAATAATTCATTGAGATTAAATTAAATGTCAAAAGTAATGTCAAAAGGTCATAAAAAGGTGACACAGGTCATAAAGGCTATAATTAAGATAATGAACACTGATTATATAATAATTATTAGCAAAGTGCAGTTAAAATAGTTTTACATGACACCACAGGATGTCAACATCTAGTACGTAAAATCAACCACACCTTCGCCTGAATAGAATTCATTCAATGCCTATGACGGACATATGCTATTTTTAGAATTATTCTTCTCTCGGTGTTGAAACTTTCCAGCAACAGACACTCCCTGGACACAGTATTCAAAGCGTAAATGTTCTTTGAGAATTAATGTGCGTGCTGCCACAGTTGAGTTTGACAAGATGGTTACGAAAGCACTGACACACTGGCTTAAGGCAGACTAGCTATGCATTCTCATTAGGAACCAGCCCGTTTGCCTTTGGGAATAATGCCAATGATGGTTACTTTATAGGTGACAGTGGGTTGTGTTGTTGCCCATCACACAATGTCTTTGTGAAACTGTGGCGTGCAGCAAATGTGGCATTTCGAAACAATCAGCATGTTTTAGCAAGTTCAGGGCACTGCGACGGAAATAAATCGTAACTTTAGAAACTAGTGCTGTGTACACAACTTGAAAATGAGACCGTAAAAATGTTTCAAATGAGTACACAGGTAAGTTAGTTTCAGAAATTGAATTTAACATGTTTAGTATTTATTAGAGACATGGACTGTGTCTGAAAAATATTGATAATTTTAAAGAAGCTTTGCGATTGGTTGTACAGGCCAGTTCACACTGCACAGACAAACACCGACCAACACAGACAATCAATAGATTACAATACATCACTTCTCAGACATTCCTTGACCCGACAAATGCTGATTCATCATGTTCAATCTGCGAAAACGAGCTCCAACAGACACCAACAGGGGTAACACAGTGATCAAAAACTGGACAAAGTGTCTGTTGCCGTCTGTCGGTGTGTGCCGGTGAGGTGTGAACTGGCCTTAAGAATAAAAATAGTGTCTGATGGAGTGGTTATAAAAAGTAAATAAAAATTTTTTTATTAATGAGAAATTGCTTATAATTTAAAATGATTTATTAATTATAAAAATATAACATTTAAAATACATTTATTTATAATCAATTTAAATTTTGATTCAATATCATTTTTGCCCACTTACAATTACATTTCTACAGAGAAGTAAGCATTGAAGTCATTATTTTCAGACAGCCAAAAACTATAAATGATTTATTAAATAAGATAATTGTAATTATTATTTATTTCATAAATATTTATAATTTATAGTAGTTATATATAAATTTACAATATACATTTTCTGCCCACTGAGAAACAAGCACTGTAGTCTTTTTTGTTTTTTTTGCCCGTTTATAAATCAATTTCTTATTTTCAGACACAGCCATGACAAGCAAACCCATGTGAGGTATTTTTGATGTGAAGGTTACTTAACAGGAAAGAAAACAAAGCAAATTTGACACTTAGTATCCATCTCTGGTCCTTTGAGCAAATTAGCCTATCAGACAAACACACTAAGCTACTTGTTTACGTAGTGTGACAAACAAAGGCTCCAGCTCATCATCAAGCAAACCAGTTACTAAACACACCCAGTGTTATATTTAGGTTTCAGCTCGGTGAAAAGTAAAATATTATCTCTTACCATAAAGCTTCTTATCTATCAAAGAAAAAAAATTATCATCAAAAAGATTGAATCTATTAATTAATTCACTTGGTTAGAGTAGCAAGTTAGCTGTAGCTGGTAATGAGTTAGCTAAGCAGCTCCAGTGATATATTACTGTACCTGTCTTCACGAATCCACCTAAAATCATAAAAAACAGCAAAAATGAACTCACTCTTTGTTCATTTCATGTTTTAAAGGTCTGGATTTAGTAATGACACAAAATTATGTTGGTATTGGCCCAAATTAGTGTGGAAATAAACATTAGCATAATTTAATTATTGGCTATGCTGTTTGACCAGCTTGACCAGCACCAAAACAACGTAATTGGCATGGAAGTCAATTAGCAACCAGCATGGAATATGGTCTGCTCTCTGGAGCATAAATAGTGAAAAATTAAACAGATTGATGGATATTAGATGATCTTATCAGCATCAGCAGACAATGTTTGACTAAATTTGAACAAAGAGCTTATACATAATAACAAGTAAACATCTGCATCCTCATGTGATGAGATTAAAATTTTTAAAGTGATTCACAGAAATAAAGAGCAGGGGGGAAAATAGATAGCTTACCACATTCATGCAGCAACATAGCTGATGTAGACAAATGAAAGACAGACAGGGCCAAAAAGACGAAAAAATGGAGATAAAGAAAGAGCAAAATGATTATGAATGAGCAAACAGAGTAACACAGACAGGGTTGGTGTGCAATAAATTTAGATGACTCCAGGTGGGACTGCAGCTTAGAGTATTGGTGGAAATCATTAAACATTGACAAACGGGAGTTTCTGAATTTGGGACTTCTGAATACAAACTGCTCTATACTCCATTATAATCTATACATTGAAAAGTATGTGGTCAGTGAGATTTTTCAAATGTTTTTTGGTAAAGAAGTCTTTATGTTCAACAGAGTGCATTTTTAATCGAATAACAGAATTTGGTAAAAAACTAATATTATGAAATATTACAATTTCAAATAGCTTCTAATTCTAATATGCTGATTTGCTGCTAAAGAAACATTTTATATTGTTATCAATGTTGTAAAAAGTTGTGCTGCTTATTTTTGTGGAAACTTAGATACATTTTTTTTCAGGAGTCTATTAAAATAGAAAGTTCAAAAGAACAGCATTTATTTGAAATGGAAATCTTGTGCAAACCTTAAATGCCACTTTTGATAAATTTCATTTAGATTTCAATTTTAAAAAATCTGAAATGTGAAAAACTAGTAGCAATCTTTTTCTGTCAGAACAGAAATAAAAAAAAAAAGAAATCTCACAGGCTCTGGAATATGGCAAGAAACCCATGTATCTGCTGGTTTCAATTGTCCTTGTCTCATCCTGGCCTGAAGGAATGGTCCCTGCAGCTTTAGTCCTGGCCAGAATTCTCACATTAATGGTGCCTATTACAATTATGCCTATTCTCTGAGAGAGCTCTTAACCTTTGGCCAGGAGGGACCATGGCAGATAAATCCACTGAAAGTGAGCAGCAAGCAGGAAGAAAACTGCATTTTCTGCAACAGTAGAATGAAAGTAGAGGATCAGCTTTGAAGGAGGTGCGGAGGAAGGGAAAGACAGAAGCCAGAATAAAGGGCAGCTGCAGAGAAAGAAAAAGGCTTGTTTCTTTGCTATCTTTCACCTGTCCATCCCCTCCTCCTCCATTTTGGCTCCTGCAGCTCTATGAAGAAGTTTGCATGCTTGTCATACTTCTCATGGTCAAGAATTTTAACCTTTACGGTCTTCCTGTGGGGGGAACATAAAATCACATTTGAGGTATGACGTGTGCTTGTGTGTTTGATTTTAGGCACATCAGATGCCTCTAAGTAAATGAGCCAAGTAAATGAGCCAATTAAATCTATAAATAATTATGATACAAGACTCTCTTTTCTTATTTGCTTCATCTATTAATTTTGCTCCAGATTGTAATGGAGAAATTAATATGCATCCTCCTCTTCAGAAGTCAATTATTGCATAGAATCTAATCGAATTTTGGGTCACAAGAGGCCATTGAGATAAAAAAGATCTTATGACAATATATTATTTTTAGCATACGTTAGGTTTAGAGATGTTGTGGGTGGACTATTAGCCGGGACTCTGCCCTGTTGGCTTTGCACATTATTAACACTTCCAGTTCAGCTCAGAAGATGGGAGCACACCGAGCTTGTGACAGGAAAGTGGGACCAGGGGAAGACAACGTCCCACCTTTTCTCTCACTCATTTCCACCAATTGTGGCTCTCCAATCTCCAGGAAGAAGTTCTTATTCTTTTCATACTCCTCGTCATCGATTATATTGATCTGAATAGTTTTGCTGAAAGAGAAAGAGAGAAAGAAAAAGAGCACAAGATTGCAGACATGAGAGAGGCACAAGGAAAGGAAAAGTGTGGAAGAATAAAAGAGTAAAACATGCTAGAGAAATAACCAAAAGCAAAGAAAAGCAAAATGAAAGAATATGGACAATGACAATGTCGTAAGCAACATAAAAGGTTGTTAAAATGTTAACATCAAAGGAACAGTACACTCTAAAAATAAAACTGTCATTATTATTTATTTTGTTGTTGTTGAACACAACAGGAGCTGTTGTGCAGGATATCCACAATGTTATTTTCTCTACAATGTATGGAAGCATATATATATATATATATATATTCAGCAAGTATGCATTAAATTGATCAAAAGAAATAGTACAGACATTTATAATGTAAAGTTTTCTACTTCAGATGCTGTTTTCTATTTTCAATTTATATATATATATATATATACACACACACACACACACACACACACACACACACACACACACACAGTGCGTATAGAAAAGAATCACCCCCCTTTAAAATAACATTTTGTTGCTTTGCAGCCTAAAATGAAGACAGAAACAGCTTTTGTTTTATCCAACAGTATTTACTCAGTGCAACTTATAACATCCAAGTGAAAGATATAACACCAACATGTCAGAAAAAAAAATAA